ATATTCTACGGCAGCTACAGTGAACAGGATTAATGGTGAACAGGATCAAAGGTCAAAGCAGAGTTATGTTAATCCAAGTTGATTCTTAATCGATTCGCTGGATTGAAGATAATGTAAAAGTATCGTTCGAATCTCCTCATTTTCGACTGTTTCGTGTTTCATCCGTCTATGTACATCTTTGCATACTTCCTTCGCCAAACATTAGAATTCCTTTGCGAACATTCGCATTAACACTTTGAGGCACGGTGGAATTAAAAATGTCCCATCTTTTTGATGCACGATAATGCATAGTGGGACATTTTTGGACCCATCTCGAAATATTGGAATAGTTGCATGCGCATTCACGAACCCATGCGGCTATAACATTAGAATTCCTTTGCGAACATTCGCATTAACTCTTTGAGGCACGGTGGAATTAAAAATGTCCCATCTTTTTGATGCACGATAATGCATGGTGGGACATTTTTGGACCCATCTCGAAATATTGGAATAGTTGCATGCGCATTCACGAACCCATGCGGCTATAACATTAGAATTCCTTTGCGAACATTCGCATTAACTCTTTGAGGCACGGTGGAATTAAAAATGTCCCATCTTTTTGATGCACGATAATGCATGGTGGGACATTTTTGGACCCATCTCGAAATATTGGAATAGTTGCATGCGCATTCACGAACCCATGCGGCTATAACATTAGAATTCCTTTGCGAACATTCGCATTAACTCTTTGAGGCACGGTGGAATTAAAAATGTCCCATCTTTTTGATGCACGATAATGCATGGTGGGACATTTTTGGACCCATCTCGAAATATTGTAATAGTTGCATGCGCGTTCATGAACCCATGCGGCTATAACAACAAATTGAATTGAATTATTATTCTTTTTATGTTTCTTATCACATATTATGTGATTTCTTTGTTGATAAAGATATACCAATTTCGTTTAATTTAGAACGCAATATTTCTGTGCAACATGGGTCCGTTTTATTTTCTGAGATCCAATGCCCCAAAGAGTTAACCGATCAGCTGTTCTTGGCGAGTATACTCGTCGTAACACGAAACGTTGCCATACTTTCATGACGAGTGTACTCGTGAAAAACGGGTAACTGTTTAAGAAGAACATATATTAGGTCTGTCGGAAAGTTCTGTCCGTTTGAGAAATGAAAGGAAATAATAGATTTCTCATAAATTTAGTAATATTTATTGTACAATATAATTTCCGTCGTTACTTATGACCTCTTGCCAGCGTGATGGCAATTTGTGAGCAACATTTTTCAAAAGTATATGTCTCAAATGAATATGTGCATATCTATTGAAATTTGCAATGACATTATCAGACAGAACTTTCCGGTAGACCTAATACTTTGATATTTTCTATTAAATTACATATTCTATAACAGTGTTGCATTAAAATATGAAGAAAATCGAGCATATGCGTTATAATTACTAGACTGCGTATCTTTATGCAAAATAACAATGTTTCAGCCTAATTGTAAGGGACAGCAATTAAATACAAGTGTACTCCCTCTTCTAACAATATTAATAAATTGAGGAGAAAATAATGATGTTCATAAATTGCTCTAATATGCATACGCTCTGATATTTCATCCAGTCGTTTTTATCATAAATGCACGAAATCCGCAGTCTAATAATTACAGCAACTTACACAGTTTTCGAAGAGATTGCAACAGCTGACTGGTTAAAATGCGCATGAATAATGAATCAGATCCCCCCGGCACTCGAAGCATTTCTACAATATATGAGCACGGAGATGTTGGCCCATATTCGGTTGAAAAGCTCGACTGTATCCTTCGTTTCTGACAGATCGCGGCGGGACCGCTCCCTTTCGTTCGTCCCGATGATAGATGAAAGGGCCTTTGATCGAATGGATAGAGGGAAAAAAAGGAGATTCGAGCGGATACCATTAATCCTAGACGGGTACGCGTAACAGGTCCGACGGAGCAGCCTGTAGGAGTCGTCGATTTCGTCGTGGATTCGTCGAAAGAGCCGGTTAATTGGTCCCGAGCAAACGATGGAAGCTCGACAGGGGAAACGCGTCGAGGTGCACGCGGCCGAACAAAGCCCAACACCGTTTCCAATTAGTCGAATGCGAATCGATCGGGCACGTCGAGCACGCCGAATCCCATCAGAGCGCCGCGCCGGCTGGTTCGGGATCGGTCTTCCGCTCTGCTCCGTTCTGCTGCGCTCCGCACCGCTCCGCTCCGTTCCGCGCGCCGGCCACACAGACGCGACTTCAAGAAACTAACAATCGTTCCCGAGCGATCTGCCGCGCACAAAGGGCTCGTTTCCATCGGAACGAGCAGCCGTCGAGCCTCGGCGTCGTTCGTTTATCACGAGGAGAAGCATTAAACGGTGCTGCACACCGCCGACAACGGAGAAAGAGGGTGCCTCCTCTCTCTCTCGCTCTCTCTCTCTTTCTCTCTCTTTCTCTCTCGCTCTCTCCATTTCTCTCTGTTGCTCCGGCACAAAGCAGGGAAAGCACCGGAGCCGCTTTCGCGCAGCCAAAGGCACTCGATTGGCAACGAGTGCGTTTCGGTTACGCCTCCGTCGACGTCGACGGCGGGACGAGACGGAAGCTGGAACACCGGGACCGGGAACGCTTTGTTTCCCCTCGCGGAAACGGAAACAATTACGGTTTCGTGACCGTAAGCGCGAAGACTTTCCAGAGCCACCCCTTTGCTTTTTCTTCGATGACTCCGATTCTCGCGGGAATCTTTGTCGTCGAATGCCCGCCGCGCCGCTCCGTTTAGATACCGAAAGGGTGGATCTCTCTCTCTCTCTCTCTCTCTCTCTCTTTCTCTCTCGGCGACCCTCGCACGGTCCTCGGATACGGCACTTCGGCTTATCGTAATTTTACTTAACCATTTAACCCTTTGCGACACGCACGCTTCTCTGCTCGAAGCTCCTGTTGCATACCGCCATCCATCACTTTCCCTATCCTCCCTGGTACTATTCATCCCAACTTTCGAAATCGAACTTTTGAAACTCTAAGCCGTGCGATCCTTTGCGATCTTATTGTCCAGGGAGGAAAGGAAAAGGAATCCCTCGGCGCGGACAAGCGGAAATCTTAAGTCGCGTCGCGACGAAATCGCGTTAAAAGGAACCTGGAAACAATGTAAATCGAGGGAATGCGTTATGTTATTGTAATTACAGTAAATTCTCCCTGTATAATAATAATCGAAATTTCTCTTCGTATTATAGAGTAAATTCTCTCTAATCGGCGCTCAGCTGGTACACAAAAATGGGGAGAGGAGATACGATTATTCGAAATTTGCGGCTCGTTTTCATAGTCACCGATTGCCAACAACTCTAAAAACGAGCCGCAAGACACGAATAATCGTATCTTCTCTTCCTAAATCGTCGATTTTTATGCACGATCTGAGCTTCAATTTGGGAGAATTGACCGTATATAATATGAAGAGAAATTTCGAAAAAATAGATGTCCGATAAGTTCATTTAAAGTATCTTCAACGATTTCATACGACGACAAGGAGCATTGAAAATTTCTGGAGAACTATAAAATACATATTTCGGAACTGCCGGGGACTCGTTGTCGAACACCTTTAACCCATTACCCGACGCGATTTTAAAAATAAAAAAGAAATTAAATCGAGGTTATCAGTTACAACCTAAAGTTTACAACGATTTAAAACGAAATAGCGGATAATTCTTAATACTTTCATGGAGCACGTGACATGTTCTCACAGTTTTAATGTCTGTATTTTATTTAGAAGTTGCAGCTTCCAAAAGAAAAAAATTTGAAAAAGTGTCCCAAAAAATGGGACATTGACGGATAATGGGTTAATAATGATCGCCGGTGTCTTCTGAAATTACTATTCGCTTGACCCACTTTCTTTACAGACGTACTTACGTTTATGCCAACGAAATCCGCGACGCGATGGAAACGTTTCTGCCACCAAAGGGAGCTGTGTCAGATAAAAAGTCGTGTCGCAAGAATCGTGTAAGAGCCGAAGGCTAACGACCGGAGCATCCGCGAATGCGGAATCCGATTTCGAAGCGACCTCCGAAATCGCAACACCGATCGGTGCTCGCGAACTCCCGCGCGTAACTTCGCGCGACGTATGTGTGCGTGCATACGTGAGCGTCGCGATCTAAACATCGCGATCTAAACATCGCGACGCTGCTAGGACGATCAACAGGCGTTATGCGAACAAAACGGTCAAATCCGAAAGAACACTCGTAACGGTAACTAGCGCGGCAATAAATAAATGCGCTCGCAGGGCTCGAGGCAACAGAACGAGAACGCGATCGAGAACGCTTTATCGATCACGATTACGGTTTATGATACGGATTATGGTACGGATTTATATTATAACGAACACAGTTTACGGCTTCGACGTACGAGAATTATTACAAGAATTATTGTACACTGCTTTATCGTCTTTTTGTATCGTGTTTTGTGTGCGTCACTATTTACTAAGAAATAGAACAGTTACCAAAACATACTATCTCTAGAATGGTTTATGTATCTTCTCATTTCTCAAAAAGTGTGGTCCGAAGATTTAGCTATTTGCTTCAATTAACCTAATATAATACAATATACTCAATGCAATATATCATCTGTTGCAATATATCAGTATTTGAACGTATTATATCGTTAACAAATTGTTTTAGATTGTATTGAGGTGGCCAACAAATCATTGCATTCCCATCTATTGGGAAAAAACGCAACGACCTATTGATCAACTCAATATTTTCTCGTAAGCCGATATAGCATCTCAAGCGAGATTTCACTTGCTAACTATAAAAAAGAAAGAAAAGAATACCGAATATCGTTGTCAAATGATTGTCGGAATTCTCGCAGCGCGTGCCATCGAGACCGTGTTCCGAAAGTACCTTGTTATAGAGGGTTCGATCGACCGTGGTATCTGGAACGAATAAAGTATTTGGCGAGTCGAGATCGAAAGTCGGGAAGTTTTGTTGGTCGAAAGTTAAAGCGAGAATGTGTGGGTCGACAGGCGAGGACACGATGCCAAGAAACCGAAGTTCCTTGACGAAACTGGAGGCCCTGATGGTGCTGGTGTTAACGGTGCTGGTCCACCTGGACGCGTGCTGGTGCTCGTCGTCCCACAAGAGCAGACACCACGCGGACATGTCGCACGAGGACGCGAAGGATTTCAGAACGAGCGAGGAGCTGCCAAGACCGGCCGCCCTCCATTCGAACGACGATCCGCTGGTGGTTCAGACCAGGAAGGGCAAGGTCAGGGGTAAGACCATGACTGCCACCACGGGGAAGGAGGTCGACGCCTGGTTCGGGATCCCTTACGCGCAGAAACCTGTCGGTACGTTCCACCTACTCGGGGCTACGCTCCTATATCTCTGCACTCGGAAATAGACCGCGGCTGCTTATGCATTTATAACGTACTCGACTCCCGCGGAGTACGACAGGCTTAAGGGTCGCGATCAATTCCTTTCACATTTTTTTCCCGTCGCTCTCGTGTACACAGAGCGATCTTTTTAAGGGGGGGTCTTCTACTATCTCGCTCGATTTCGATTTCATATTTTTTTCAGAATTCTTGTAAAGAATCGTTGAGACGCCGCGTTTTCGGATTAATAGTGTTTATTCGGGCAACCTTGGTTTGCGTGTCCTTCAATTTTCGTTGGGAAACATGGACAAATTCCGGTGTCGCAAACCGTTGTTTCCTAGGACTTTTAACCCTTTGCACTCGAGCGGTGACTCCGAGGAGCCATTAAGATTTATTATATCGCGTTCTAAGATCATTTTTATATGAATAAAGTTTAGATTGAAAACATTGTTAAGAGCACAACTGTTGCGTGAGTCGCAAGAATCAATTTCATATGCATAAAATGCACTTTGTCATGGAAAATAAAAATACTATAAGTCAGAAAAAAATTATATTAAATTCACAGTTAAAACAGCTTCGAGCGCAAAGGGTTAAAAATCCGCAGTCGATGGTGTCCATGATTCGCGTTTTCCTTGTTACCAGAAACGAAAAAATGACTAATATTGTAATGATAATATTATGAATAAATGACTAATATTATAAATAATATCATAATGATAATATTATGAATAAATGACTAATATTATAAATAATATTATAATGATAATATTATGAATAAATGACTAATATTACAAATAATATTATAATGATAATATTATGAATAAACGACTAATATTACAAATAATATTATAATGATAATATTATGAATAAACGACTAATATTACAAATAATATTATAATGATAATATTATGAATAAATGACTAATATGAGTGCAGCTATGGCAGGAACTAGGTAAACGAATATCGCTAAATAAAAATTCACGGCCCTCTGAACTTAGCTTGTCGATTTTGTCACCGGTGCGAACAAACACAGGGGACGCGAATTTTTTAATAATTCCAGTTCGAAGCATAGCCACAGAAATACCGAATATTTGTGCAAAGTTTCGTTGGTATCGGCCAATCATTTCTTGAGAAATCGCGAGCACCGTTTTGTAAAGCACAGTTTCGAGAAAAACGCGTTTTAAAGTAACATCGTCCTCTCAAGGATTCAAACTTCAAGGAAACGCAATAACAGAAAAAAAGAACGGATCTTTTTTCCCCCGCGAATGTAGAAGATCCCCTCAACCCCCTCGTACGCCTCGAATCGTCCTTCTACATCGGATGCCGTGGAATCATTCTCCGCGATCGTGCCGCAACCAGGGATTCAAAGGATTCCGACAGCGACTGTTTCAAACTGTTCCAATATCGGCGCCGACTGAAACAGTTGCGAAGAGAACCGAAAACATCTCTTTCAACTCTTTTCAACCCCTGGCTGTGCAACGATTAAAAGCTCGCTCCCGAAAATTCGGAATCCCGTGAACGTCCGTGCTCGAGTTGCCGGACAGAGTTCCCGGGATTCCGTCCTCGAAAGAGCTTTAATCTTTCGTTTGATCCGACGTTGGTATTTCATCTTTAAGAATCGTTATTTTATTTTAGAAAGTGCAGAACCGTATTTATATCTTCTTATTATTAACCGAGAGTCTTCGTGCATTTTTAGCAGATCCTGCTAGACAAAATCCATCGGAATCGCTGGGCTTTTGCTCCGTCTTTTATTCGGCGGACTTAACTGTCGTGCAAGGGAGAACGCGCGAGGTCGAGCCCTTCGCGAGAAATTCTCTGCGACGGAAATTATCGAAGCCGCGAGAAAGATCGAGGGTCTCGTTTCGAAACAAATTGGGTTCCCATCGGATCGCGAACGTCCCTATCGTTACCGTTCGAGCTCGATTGTTAATAAAAAAAAAAAACAACCGCGGGAGAGGCGGGTACGGTCGATCGCGTAGCAAGCGGCGGCCATTGTAGCCGATGTTAACCGACGCCGATCAGCTGTATTGCCGAAACAATGTAGCGCGGTATTATCGGCGCGCATTTAGTACATTAACCCATTTGCATCGAGGCGAGCGGTTGAACGCGCCCCGACGTCCCTACGTAATGGACGGCCAGCCGAGAATCGTCTCGTCGTACCACCGACCATTTTTCCTTCTTCCAAATCCCATTATACTCGAGTGTTCACGAGTTTCGGCCTCTCACCACCGTCGAGGGGAATCTCCCACTAGCAGCTTCTTCTTTCCCCGCTCCACCTCCGCCCACGCACCCTTTCCATGCACGCCGTTTACCACGGGCTTCCGGAACAGTTAGCTGAAAATCTTGTTAACACCTTCGTAGCCGTGGCAAGGGTTGAGTGGGCTGCGGATCTTCCCGCGGATGAGAACACTGTCTGCAAGCAGCGGAAGTTGAAGGAAAAGGCGCGTATTCCTATCAACAGGTCTGGCGTCTTCGTACGTTTGAGATCGTTCGGAATCGTTTGAAAGCGTTTGACATTGTTTGAAATCGTTTAAACCCTTTGAAATCCTTTGAAATCATTTCATATCCTTTGAAATCGTTTGAAATCATTTTCAATCGTTTGAAACCCTTTGAAATCGTTTGAAATCGTTTAAAATCTTTTGAAATGGTATGAAATCATTTTAAATTATTTGAAATCGTTTAAAATCTTTTGGAATCGTTTGAAATCATTTTAAATCGTTTGAAACCCTTTGAAATCGTTTGAAATCGTTTAAAATCTTTTGAAATGGTATGAAATCATTTTAAATTATTTGAAATCGTTTAAAATCTTTTGGAATCGTTTGAAATCATTTTAAATCGTTTGAAACCCTTTGAAATCGTTTGAAATCGTTTAAAATCTTTTGAAATGGTATGAAATCATTTTAAATTATTTGAAATCGTTTAAAATCTTTTGGAATCGTTTGAAATCATTTTAAATCGTTTGAAACCCTTTGAAATCGTTTGAAATCGTTTAAAATCTTTTGAAATGGTATGAAATCATTTTAAATTATTTGAAATCGTTTAAAATCTTTTGGAATCGTTTGAAATCATTTTAAATCGTTTGAAACACTTTGAAATCGTTTGAAATCGTTTAAAATCTTTTGAAATGGTATGAAATCATTTTAAATTATTTGAAATCGTTTAAAATCTTTTGGAATCGTTTGAAATCATTTTAAATCGTTTGAAACCCTTTGAAATCGTTTGAAATCGTTTAAAATCTTTTGAAATGGTATGAAATCATTTTAAATTATTTGAAATCGTTTAAAATCTTTTGGAATCGTTTGAAATCATTTTAAATCGTTTGAAACCCTTTGAAATCGTTTGAAATCGTTTAAAATCTTTTGAAATGGTATGAAATCATTTTAAATTATTTGAAATCGTTTAAAATCTTTTGAAATCGTTTGAAATCATTTTCAATCGTTTGAAACCCTTTGAAATCGTTTGAAATCGTTTAAAATCTTTTGAAATGGTATGAAATCATTTTAAATTATTTGAAATCGTTTAAAATCTTTTGAAATCGTTTGAAATCATTTTCAATCGTTTGAAACCCGTTGAAATCGTTTGAAACCCGTTGAAATCGTTTGAAATCGTTTGAAATCTTTTGAAATCGTATGAAATCATTTTAAATCACTTGAAATCGTTTGAAATCATTTGGAATCGTTCGAAATCGTTTGAAATCGTTTGAAATCCTTTGAAATCATTTTAAATCGCTTGAAATCGCTTGAAATCGTTTTAAATCATTTGAAATCGTTTGAAATCGTTTGGAACCTTTCGAAATCGTTTGAAGTCGTTTAAGATCGTCTCAAATCATTTGAAATCGTTCTAAATCGTTTAAAATCGTTTGAAATCATTTGGAATCGTTTGAAATCCTTCGAAATCGTTTTAAGACGTTTAAAATCGTTTAATATCGTTCAAAGTCATTTGAAGTCGTTTGAAATCTTTCGAAATCGTTTGAAGTTGTTTAAAATCGTTTTCAATCATTTGGAATCATTCAAAATCGTTTGAAATCGTTTGAAATCATTTGAAATCGTTCAAAATCGTTTGAAATCTTTCGAAATCGTGCGAAATCGTTTGAAACCATCTGAAACGTGCCGAAAATATCCGCAGCAAAATCGGAGACTTTAATGCAACAAGCTCGTCCGATTTTTGTTCAATGAAATAGCGAGCATCCTGTAACGAAATCTACACCTTCGACGAGTGCAATCGTGCCAGAAGTGTGCCCGGTGTTGCACCAAAGTCTCGGATTACGGTCACAAAAGCTGTTTATGAAACAAACGCTGATAGTACCGCCACGAATTGAACAATTCAGACGACGATTTTGAGATGCTGCGGGTCGAAACGCGGCCAGCCATTAGTACAAACTAGCAATAGATGAAGTCTAGGATGATATCGAAGGGCGGATGAGGGGAAGCATTTTGAGGAAGGAGGGGGGCTGGGTGAGAAGTGAGTCGGAGACGAAACGGGTGGTGAAAAGGGTGAAATGTCGGAGTAGACGATCGGGACGCGGTGTTTTGTTGCAGGGCAGCTTCGTTTCCGGCATCCACGGCCGGCTGAACGCTGGCCGGGCATCCTGAACGCGACCACGCTGCCGAACAGCTGCGTGCAGATCCTGGACACCGTGTTCGGCGACTTCGCGGGCGCGACCATGTGGAATCCGAACACGCCGCGCGACGAGGATTGCCTTTACGTGAACGTGGTCGCGCCGCATCCTAGGCCTACCAATGCCGCTGTTATGGTATGGATATTCGGTGGTGAGTTCCAGCTGACACCTGTTCCGTCCGATCAGTAGACCGTTTTCAGAGGGTGGACCGTGGCGAGCACCGCGCACCGCGCGCATCGCTTCTTTCGCACAGGTGGTCGCCTCTTACCCGGGAAACGATTATTTTCGCCCCCGCAGCCGGCTATTTCCAGCCGGTCGGCCTTTTTTTAAACTTTCAACTCCGGCCAGACACGCTCGCAGCTCGACCAGATCAATTCGAACGGGAGACGCTGTCTTGGATCCGGTGGCCGCTCGAGGAGGACCCCGAATCGATTATGGTCGACGTCGACCTCGACCGGCCAGCCGGCCAACAACCTCCCCGATTTTTCCGACCGCGATATCCTCTCCGTCTAGTCTGTTCGCCGACCTTTCGGCTGCAACTCGAGCATCACTGCCAACCGAATCTTCAGATATTTCCTGCGCTCGAAGCGGATCGAAGCGGAGCCTGGACTCTTTCACGCGTCGACTGCCGTGTCACTTTTATATCGCTCGTGCAATCGTTTCTGCAGATTGAACAAGGAATGTCTTCGCTGAATATGTATCGCGTTCCAAAAGCTTCCGGAAACAGCTGCTTCGAACTGTTATAAACCGGTTCTGAAGCACCGAATGAATTTTATAACTGTTATAAGGTATATCGGTTATACAGGATGGACTATGCAACTTGTGCACCTCTTGTAGCTTACAAAATATGCGTCGCACGAAAAGATTTTGTACACAAAGGATACATGGTTTGAAAGAACACATCGCGCAGTGCATTTATTTTTATTATAGATAGAAGCGTTTCGAAGATTTGAAGGTCAACTTTGTTTTTTAAAATAGATCACTATATTTTTTACATCAAAATATGGAAGAATATCGAATTCTGAGTAAAAAAGTATTGACCTTTATTAGCCCTAAACGTAATAGCTAACGAATAATTTCACTTTATATCTTGAAAATTTTCTTTACGTAATATCAAGTTGGAGATATAACCTTATCACAGATTTCCGTAAGACAGCGATGTTTTACGTGGCAATGTTTATTAATATGAGTGACCTAGTAGCTTATCGCTTTCGATTATATCTGCTTCGTATTACTTGCAAGGTGTGGCCAAGGCCACGGGACAGCTTTGTCTATCACGCAAAATCGAAAAGCAACAGTTGCACGGCCGATAGCGAAACCGATATACAGTAAATTCTGCCTAATTCGCGCTCAGATTGCGCACAAAAATGGACAATTTGGGAAGACGAGAAACGATTATTCGAGCCTCGCGGTTCATTTTTATAGTTGTCTATTGTGAACGATTATAAAAAAAACGAGATGCAAAGCTCGTGTAATCGTATTACTTCTCAAATCGTCCAATTTCGTGCGCAATCTGAACGCGAATTAGGCAGAAATTACTGTACCTGATAACAGATAACGAGACTGTTTCGATTCTCCGTACCTGTTTCAAGGAATAAAATCGACGTCATAAATGTTTTATAAATCGATAGAAATGTCAAACCCTGCCGATATTCGGTTGAAATCTGCGAAACGCGAAAGGATTAACAAAGCATTCGGTGCATTCGAACTTCTCTAAATTAATTTCATTGAATAGATCCCTATGAATTTATGGAACTTTCGGGAGGACTCCCGGATTAGCGTCAATTAGTCAACGCGGTGAAGCGAGCACAGGCGGAATATCGGAAGATCTTTTCGCAGATTCGGCAATTTTCCGATCGCGATCCCTGCAATCGTTGTCCGAAGAAATCTTCGAGCCGAGGACAAAGGAAGCTTTCTCAAGGAGAAAGGAGATCGACGTGGCGTAGTGCAGCCGAAGGGTCGAGACCGTTGTGTAAAGTGCAAATGACCGAAAGCGTAAATGAAAAGGAAAACGGAGAGCGAGAGGGCGACTGTCGTCGGTCCAGTCGGCAGTCGACGATCGGCAATTGACAATCGACGATCGACGGTCGACGATCGGCAGTCGCCGGGTCTCGCGCTTGGTACAAGTCCCCGTTGTTGGTAGAAGACGCCTCTGGGGGCTCTGCGCGAGGCGTTTCCCCGGTTCGAGGGCAATCGCGAAGGCGAAGCCCTTTGAAACAGGAGTGAGAGAGAGAGATGGAATCGCGCGACAAATCCTTGTAGGTGGCTTTTACTCCGGATCGGCGACCCTCGACGTTTACGATCACAAAACCCTGGTGTCGGAGGAGAACGTGATTCTGGTCTCGATGCAATATCGAGTCGCCAGCCTGGGTTTCCTCTACTTCGGAACGTCGGACGTACCTGGGAACGCCGGTCTGTTCGATCAGATGATGGCCCTTCAGTGGGTCCGCGACAATATCGCTGCGTTCGGCGGAAATCCTGACAACGTGACCCTGTTCGGAGAGAGCGCGGGCGCCGTTTCCGTTTCTATGCACCTACTCTCGCCTCTGTCAAGGTGCATACCTTTTCTCCTATAGTCACTATACGAGAATTCGTTTCTTTATGTTCTCTCTGTTCTCTCATGTTCTCTCATGTTCTGTTTTATTCGCAAGATTATCTCTGTCTTACGTTTATTGTTTCTTCTTGCTTGCAATTTGCAATCCGCGCTACCGATCATAAGTTCACCGCGTACCTAGCCTCTCGAATCCTGGCAGACCTATGGCCGGTAGCAGCTGACGGAAACCAGTGGTTCCGGAGACGGCCGGGCACGGGCCCGGGCTTTCGGAATCACTGGTCTGAACCAGGCACGTCCAACCCGGATAACAACGAAGCGGGGCCCGGCGAGGCCCCGGTCGCGGAACAACGTCCTTGTCGCTTCGAAACGCGCTTCGGTCCGGATCGCGATGGACTTGCCTGGAAAGGACGATCGCTTCGACGACGATCCTCCGTTGGCCGCCTCTGATCGAGCTGCTCGACGATTTCCTCCGTTCCAGGCACCTGTTCAGCCAGGCGATCATGCAGTCCGGCTCGCCGACGGCCCCCTGGGCCATCATCTCGCGCGAGGAGTCGATAGTCCGAGGGATCCGACTGGCGGAAGCGGTCGGCTGCCCCCACGATCGTAACAACCTGCAGGAGGTGATCGATTGCCTGCTGACCAAGGACCCCCTGGACCTCGTGGGCAACGAGTGGGGCACCCTCGGCATCTGCGAGTTCCCGTTCGTCCCGGTGATCGACGGCGCGTTCCTCGACGAGACGCCGCAACGGTCCCTCGCGACCTCCTCCTTCAAGAAAGCGAACATCATGATGGGCTCGAACAGCGAGGAGGGATTCTACTTCATCATCTACTATCTGACCGAGCTGTTCCGCATCGACGGCGCCGAGGACGTCAAGGTGTCCAGGGAACAGTTCGTCAGCGCGATCTCCGAGCTGAACCCGTACGTCAGCCCGCTCGGCAGGCAGGCCATCATCTACGAGTACACGGACTGGCTCCATCCCGACGATCCTCACGCGAACAGGAACGCCCTCGACAAGATCGTCGGCGACTACCAGTTCACCTGCAACGTCAACGAGTTCGCCGAACGGTACGCGGAGACCGGGAACACCGTCTACATGTACTACTACAAGCACAGGTGAGAATCTTATTGCCGAGGAGGACGCGGCAACTAAAACCGGACACTCGATACCGGTCACGCCTTTTACAACGGAATCGCTCTTCCCAAATTGGACCAAAATCGGTTGAAATTCTTCGAGACGGTGGAACAGCTGGTTTTCGCCGAACAATGCGCGCAGAAATGTTCGCGAAGTGCTAATAACTGGTTGGAATGGAACGACAAATTTAAAACTCGAATCTTTTGCTCGATGCGCAAGCGACAGATGACAAAAAGATCTCTAGAAATCTCTAGATTTCTTGCGATTTTCTGGTCGAAGGTCGCGGATAACTGCGATCTTCGCGATCTTTGGTTGCACGCAGCAACATGGGCCAATTTCGATGAAATTTTCAACCTGCACAGAAGCTGTCGAGACCTACAAATTGCATTGTTCGAAAGGCTTGCCAATTGCGATGTTCGTAAAAATGTTTGGCACCTTCTATCGTCTCAAAAGAAAAGATCAAATCGTTTGGTCCAATTTTAGAGAACTTGTTCCGCTTTGAAAGGTGTCCACGCCTATTTGTCCAGGACTGTGCTACCGAAAATCGGAATGAAATAAGTCCCTGAACTGAACAAACCATGGCGAACTCGTTAAATTATCCTCGACGATCCAGACGGTCCTCGACCGGTTCCGAAGAAGACCATTCTCCCTCTATCCGAACTTAGGGCACAAAGGCTTTAATAAACAAGCCATTACGATGAAACAGAAGGCTAACCATTTTAAGGGAGCCGAGATTTAATAACGCTCCCGGCTAGCGGGGCCGCTTATTCAGCCAGTAAGCTTCCGGCAGCTTCCTGGTTTCATGAATTATTCCTCGGGAACCTGGATTTGCATAAGGAGCCGCGGTCTAGCCACCGGCAGCGCCTCGGAGGGCTAATTTTACGAGATCGTCGCGCCCTGTGTTCTGGAATTGATGAACCTGTGGAATCGAGGAATAGACGCGCCGCTGTTTTGTTTTTTCCAGATCCGCGAACAATCCGTGGCCCAGGTGGACGGGCGTGATGCACGCGGACGAGATCAGCTACATCTTCGGGGAGCCGTTGGACCAGTCGAAGGGCTACACGCGGCAGGAGGTCACCTTGTCCAAGAGGATGATGCGATACTGGACGAACTTCGCGAAAACTGGGTGAGCATCGAACACTTGTCGCTCTTCGACGCGTCGCGTTAGCGCTGGGTCGAGTCAAAATCATCTGGATACGTCGAATTTTGCAATTGTTAAGTGGAGCTTCTTGTCTGGGACCCTCGAGGTCGACTTCTCCGTAGAAATCTGTAGGGAATAACGACGATGCGGGGAGCTGGAAATTGACAAAACTATTAGGTTGGTGCATGTCGGATTTTCTTTACATGCGATTTTCTTTACATGTCTCCCTGTTTTCTTTATGCTTTTGTTTTTGGCATAACCTCGTTTATAGTCGTACTGCCCATTGCCAGAGTCACATTTCAACAAAGAAGATTTTCTCAAAAGTGTTCCATTTTGTGATTTGCTTCGAATTTCGTAAGGATACGAATTCAACCGATATTCGTGCAATTTTTTTATATGAGTATAAACTTGGTAATAATGCTGCATAAGCTGCACGCAATATAAACCAGGCGTTTTGGGGAGAATACTGTTAACGATCGAAAAGTGCAGCGTTGGTTTGAATATTTTCGGTCTGGTGATTTTTTCCTGCAAAACGAACCGCGTGGAAGACCCAAAACGTCTGTGAAAAATGATGATCCGAAAACATTGATGGAAACGAATGTGACTGAAGTAATTCACTACTCGTTCCTTCGAACTGAGGAGACAATTACAGCCGAAAAGTACTGTCAGTGCATTGATGAAATGCATGAAAAATTGAAAATTGTACGCCCATCACTTGTTAATCGGCATGGCCCAATACTTCTCCACCACAACGCTCGGCCGCAAATGTCGTACAAAACAATTGCGAAATTAAATGAATTAAAATATGAAATTTTACAACATTCAGCTTATTCGCCGGATCTTTCGCCAACCGACTTTCATTTTTTCTTTAACATGTAGAACAGTTTTTACGGGCTAAATAGTATGAAAATGACGACAGTCCCGATAAATTCCATATCAGAGTTTATTAATTCTAAAGATCAGAATTTCTTCAAGACAGGCATCTATGCATTAAAATCTCGTTGGGAAAAGTGCATTGAAGCAAATGGAGCGTATTTCGATTAAATAAACAGCTTTTGAAGAAAGATATTCAGTTTTATATGTTCACTTAAAAATCCGACATTTCATACGCACCAACCTAATATCGAAGAGCATAGCGCATAAATAAACCGCGTTCTTAGAATCGAAGTCTCCGATCGTAAAATTATTAAAATATAAATAAACGAATTTCACAGATATATTTGAAGTAGCTAGGACTGAATGGTTCGATTGTGACAGGGACCCGAACATGGGCGAAGATACATCGCTATGGGGCATCCAGTGGCCGGTGCACACTGCCGCGAGTAAAGAGTACCTCACTCTGGACACGGACAGCTCCACGATCGGCAACGGGCTCCGAGTGAAGCAGTGCACGTTCTGGAAAAAGTATCTCCCTCATCTTCTCACAGCTACATGTGAGTACACACTTCCTTCATTCGTCCAACCGAAGAGCGACGATTCTCATTCAACGTGCCGACTTCGATCCTGCACGAGCAACACGATTCCATGCCAAAGTTTATAAAGCTTACTATTATCGCGTTAATAAATCTCGAATTTCCGTTATTAGAGGACCCATTCGTGCCGCGATTACTCGAATGCGGCAGGTTTCCCGATCGGTGGATCGCGACACCTGTTGAACGGAAGAATTTCTGGAGGGCACGAGACTGATCTGAATGGATATCCGATCGCTATGCGTTTCAGCCACTCGCTCGAAACCCTAAAAAGTCAGCGGAAAATCTGGCGAACGTTCGGAAGACAACTGTGGTCCTCCGTTCAACGGGGCCCAGTCGGGGCCCCAACGAGATTCGAAAGAGTCGCGGCGATCGTTCTCGCGAGAGTGGGGAATGCTGGAAGAGTCGAAAGAACTCGCGAAAGTTTCGCGATGAAAGATCGCTGAAGGTCACCGCTCGAAGGCCACTCGCCGCCGAGTTCCGAAATGAACCTTGTTAACCCGCGGCCAGCTGCTCGGCGCGACACTTTTTCCGGACCCTGTTGAACTCGGTCCAGCGGGGAACGCGCCGCGCCGCGCCGGAAGCGAACGCGGCCAATAAAATCTCCCTGCCGTTCCTCGTTCTCCAACTTCTTCCCCTAAATCCCGTTTCACGGCAGTGTGCTCGCTGACCCGGAAGAACCCGTTTCGGGCAACGTAAACAGAGGATCTTGTCTTATCGTTTTCTTCAGTCTGGCTCAAGTCCCTCCGTTCTCGACTTCAATGTCCTCTGTTAGAGTCACGGCTGTCTTCAAAGGGTCTCTTGTTTTATATCCCCGGACAGATGCCAATATTCTTCTTGGTGAGAACCGAAATCGAATATGCGGCTGTCAGCGACAAGGATTCTGTGTTCTTCTTCCGCGTCTGCCGAGATTTATACTCTGTATCCTCGTACTTCTCGTTAGATTGAATTGCTATCATTCTCAGGCCATTCTCGTCGACTGCAAAATTATTATTTATCAATGCCTTTAATCATATTTTCAACGCTGAATCCATCGATAGACTGCTTCATAAAAATGACAAGAACAAATACATTTTTAACGTTATTTTTAACGTTATCACTGTAGTGTATAATTCAACGAAGGCATTTATTTGATTTTTCCCCACGTAAGAGCGTTCATAATTTGAATATCTTTTTATCCTTAAAAACGTGCAATATCATTTTGACCTGCACAGTAGATGCGAAGACAATATTTGCGATTGTTCCTTTGAGAAACTAAGAAGATTTCTCGGTGACTGTAGGATAATTTTGACAGCTCGTCGTGCTCGTTCCACGATAATAATAAGTAGACAGCGGATTTTACGCATTTATTGCAAGAATTGATAAGAGAAATGCAGAATAGCGAAAATATCGGAAGAATTTATGAACGTTGTTACATTGTTTTCAATTGATTGGAATTATTAAAAAAAAAAACAGACACAGATTTATTTAACTCTTGTTCCATGCAATCGCCGAACAAAATGTTTATTTTGCACGAAGATCCGCCGTACTAACAGGTTTGCGGATCAGGATCGCGGTCGTCGGAACACGTTCGTACCTTCGAAAACAAGGAGAAAAACAAACCGACTGTCTCTCGAGACGCGCGACGTCCCGATGTCGAGTCCCCGACAAGTTCTCCATCCATCATCGCTGAGACGCGGACAGAAGTTCGATTCCCCGGGGCCAGAGAAATTGAATCGGCCCGGGATGAGAAAGGAGAGCGAGGGACACTTGCACCGACGACCGCGAGCATTCAGACACGTGGCCGGAAATGAAACTTTTTAACGAACGATGTAAATCGTTGCTCTACTCGCGATCGTTTCGCGCGACGAGGCTGCGAGCTTTTTACGAGTACGCACGCTGCGTGCAATGTGAACAGAAATGTCAAGGTTATGTTATCAGATTTCGACTTTCATTTGGCTTCTTCTACAGTCAAAATTCTCTCGATGGTAAATTCAGAAGATCCGAGATATATCCTCTTTTTTTTCTGGCGTCGTTTGCCTCGAAACATTGCTCCTGAGGCCAAACCAGTCAGCAGCATTTACTGTTTTAACAGTTTGACTGCGGTGGAATTATTTGTTTGGTGTAGAAAAATTCATTTCCACGCCAATCCAATTTTATTAAGATCCGTATAAATAATGAATAATCGCGTGAATAATGAAAAAGTAATCGATGTCTCACAACTTAACTTCTCAATTTCGATTTGAAAGCTAGTCGAGCTTTATTACATTGTTGAAGATGTTGGCGTAGCGGTCAAAGTGTTAACAAAAATATAAAACAAACCAATATATGTTAACAAACAAATCAAAGCAGAGAGTCTTTGTGATCTTCGTTGCTGGATTTCCAGAAGGAGCAAAGTCCGGTTCGACCGAGAATCGCGAAGTTCCAGTTCTAGGTCCGCTAAAATCGGGAGCAGCGGAACTACGGCCGTTCGGAGCCTCCCGCGGACAAACGACAAGCTAGACAACGGTCTTCCATGCATGCTTGGCTTTCGTAGATGAGAATTCTTTGCTCGGTTCGGCCCCGTTTGGCCGCGTAGGCGATCGAGGCCGGCGAGGCCGGCGAGGGCAAAGGGCGTTCTCCACCGCAGCGCGGTCGTTCCGAAGATGATGTTCGCGGTTTCCTGAGCCCAGCAGGTTGGCCGGCTTCCAAGGAAGATATATCCTTATTAATATGTCCTCGCGCAGCCTAATATTTGAGAGAAATATTAAAGGTCGCGAGCCCGCCGCTGGCCCGGCGCCATTTCGCCATTTCGCCATTCCGGCGTGCGCCCCGGGGAGAGCAGGCTCCCGATCCGCTCTCCGCGGACTCGATTCGTCCATTATGCAGATCCGATTATTGGTCGCGATCGTCGCTCGCCGCGATCACAAAAGAGGGAAGAGATGGGGCTCGACGCCGCGAGCTTTGAATATCTCGGGAGGAGGAGCCGCGCGGCGGCCTCTCTTATCGTAATAGCCCGCGCTCCTTCCTCGGCCGCGGCAAATCCTCGGCCAGCGATTCCAAATCCGTGGTACATCACCCGGAGAGGAAACGAGCGAAGAGGAATTTCAGCAAGGCGAAGCGTTTTCCGCTCGCAAGAGGGCGACGGGCTTCTTCGACGAGCGTCAAGTGGAACGCTTCCGCGGCCGCGGACACTTGATGCGAGCACTGAATAAATGATGGACGCTCCAACAGGCCGGCTTCGTCTTCCCGGCAACCTGGAGACGGTAATCGGGCGCGTTATCTCGGCAAATGATCCGTCTAGATCAAACGCGCGCAGATCCTCCCGATGGCTCGCGACTCGGGAAAGAATTTATCTCCGGAACATGGAGACTCGAAGGCTCCTGGAAATTTAGGAGCGAATAGGCCAGCTCGCTCGTAACGTAATCCGATTTCTTAAATCCGGATTACAACCGTACTCCTGCAGGTGAAATCGTTCTTCAAAAACTGACGCGAAAACAATTCTCGAAATACTCTGTTCTGCGGTGCTACCTCTCGGCCGATCCTCAAAATGAAATGCTAATTTTTCTACAAGTACCATCTTAATTCAAGTAATGATCTCATGTTCTGCTCAAACCCGTCCAAGGTCTAAAATATCTAAATTCGCTACTTTCGTGATAAGAAGTAGAACAATTAGCTGCTAATAGCTGTGATTAATGAAGTAAATTTAATATACAGGGTTCCCAAAATTATTGTACAAGCGGGAGATGTGGGTATCCTGAGGAAATTTGAAGCAACTTTTTCCTTAGCGAAAATGTAATCCGCGGCTTCGTTTAGGAGTTATTAAGGAAAAACAGTGACCAATAAGATGCGAGCACGGTTGGCGCGAAGCGGCCCAGTCAACGAGCGTACGAAGCCCAGTTCCGCTCATTGGCTCGGCCGTCTCGCGCCAGCTGATCTGCCCTCTCATTGGTCACTGTTTTTTGTTGATAACTCGTAAACGAAACCGAGCATAGCATTTTCGCTAAGGAAAAAGTTACTTCGAATGACCTCAGGAACTCCTCATTTCTCGCTTGTACAATAATTTTGGGACATCTCGTATACAGTAATTACTCCTAGAAATGTTCGGAGGTCGGAATTGAAACTGGCAGATCTGAGAACACTAAATCGCTCTTTCTCTAAGACCTCTTCCAAAATTGTCCATTTTTGTGTACGATCTGAGGGTCAATTAGGGAGAATTTACACAACACAACACACACACACACATACTGTTTATGTATACAATATATGTACATTAGGTTTATTTTATTAATCGCAGCTCTTAGCAGCTAATTTTTCTACTTGTTAATTCCCTATTTCTTCTTTCATTTCTCTGTGTTTCCTTCTGCTACGACCACTTATCAAGAATTTAATGAAGCTATAGCACAAAATGTGGACAATTAACCGATGCTGTCCAAGAAAATAGGTTGCATTTGGTCCCACTGTGCGTCGGACCCGTTTAGGGCGAACGTAGACGATTCTAGCCGTGGCCGGCAGCTCGCCGAGAGCAGCCCAGTTATTTACCGATTAATCCCGGTTGATTAAACGTTCGAGCGTCGGTTAAGGAGCCGCGTTCGAGTTCTGGCAACGGCGAGGAACGAGTCACCCCCCCCCCCACTTTCGCGAAGCAATTTCGCATCCCATTGACTCCGAGGCGGGCTATTAATCGAGGGTGCTCGCAGCCCTTCGAGGAAGCTGCCTCGCGAGGAAGAAATGGCCGCGAGCCAACCGGCCCGGGGTGAAAACGTCTGTTTCGTCTTTCATCCGATTCTTTATGCTTTCGACTCGGCTCGATGCACCGAATAAAGACCGCCCCCCTCCCCGGGAGCGAACCGTCGAGCCAATTTTTATTGGCATCGGACGAGGGAACCGTGTTCCCGCGGAGTTTTCTCCCGGAGCTCGGCGACGTGCTGCTCTTGTTTTCTCGTCAAGCTTTCCCAGGCTTCCGAGGGATCCCTCGCAATCCGGAGATTACGTTCTTATCCCGC